TTAGATATGCATGACTTCTACAGCAGTCACTGTTTTCATTTATTCTCTTTTCCTAGACCACTGTCTATATTGCTGCATCCAATCTAGGAGGTCTCCCATTTAAGCTCTTTTATTTTTACTTCATTGTGTGATTATATTTAAATTTTGTTTGCTTTTTTTTTTGGTTGTTAGTGGTAGAACTCCAGTGAACAACCTCATTTATATCCCTTCTGGCTTTCTTCTTCCCCCAACTCCTCCAGGAGTTTGATTATGCTGTAAATATCTCATTAATTCTCTCACTTGGTCTAACACTTTGGTATTTACCGCCACTATTTGAGGTAGAGAGAAGGATGAGGGAAAACATTTCATAATTTAGAACACTGATCTTTTTTTTTTTTAAGCCAGGGCAAGAGGCTGAAAATTCTTTGCTTGTTGATTCTTCTTGGAATCTGATATATTTCGCAACTCTACATTTTAATATTTTGTGTTTTTATTGTCTCATATCCAATAGCTGTTTTTCATAAACTCCAGTAAGTATTAATCTCTTTTCTACCTCCTAAGTTTTTTTGTTCTGCTTTTTAACTCCCAGAATACTTTCCACCCTCTAAATGTGGGGCTGCAGTGATGTGCCATCCAAGGCAAGTTTTGTGTTACCTTATAAGTGCAGTGTGGCTCAGACTTAGCTGATATTTATGGAAGAGTTCCTGGGAGCATTCTTAGCCAAGGAAACATTTTTAAAATATACACTTGCCTTGATAATCAAAGCTATTACACACACACACACACACACACACACATAAGTAAATTTGGTTAGCAGCCATATATTTCAAAAACCAATTGTTTTAATTTGTTAATTTTCTTTCTGGATATTTTAGTGTACTTTATTCTTAGGGTGAGGTTGAGTGTATTTTTAACTTTTCTGCACTGTGCCTTTCCCCTTTTAAACCTGGATCTCAGACAGAACTTTGAGCGCTTGCAATCCTAAAGTGTTACACATGAAAACTGTTACTCGTCTAATGGCATACTCTGCCTGCTGCGAGTGTTTGCCTCTGACTTCCTTCCTTAACAACCAGTTTGGGCAGCAACCTGTCTCACAAACATGTGAACTATCTTTAAGAACTTCAGAATTTTTATACTGAGGATTTTTAAAAAGTCCAGTAAGACTTTAAATTAGAAATCAATACAGTAAATACAACTAGAATATCAGATCCCTGGATAATTTTTTTTTTTTTCAGATCTCTTACTAGTATATGATTCAGGTTGTAAGAACTGTGAGGGTTAGAAAGTTACCTTTGGATCTGGGAGTACTTGATTTTCATGTGGATTAGGTATTCCATCCAAAGTATAAAAGCACAGTGTGTGCCTGAGGGGGTTGATGGTAGGCACCAGTGTTGTGCCCTATTGGGTTAACCTGCTAACTGTGGTGCCAGCATCCTGTATCATATGGCCCTAACTCAAATATTGACCACCTATTTCTGGTCCAGTACACTGCTGAGCCTGGGGAAGTTTTGGATGATGGCCCATGTACTTTTGTCCTTGTACTCGTGTGGGAGAACAGGTTGAAGTTAGGATGAAGCCTGGTCTATACCTACTGCTGTGGCTATTTGGAGAGTGGAACTCACAGATGAGATTTCTCTGTCTCTGTGTCTCTTCAAATAAAAAAGAAATTCTCTTTTTCAAGTGGAAACATCTTATGTTCAGAAGTCTCTGTCGTGCCACCCTGCAGGCAGTTTTGTCTAGCAGATTATCTTCCTTGTGCTATTGTTATCAGTGAATTTGAATGAATTGGTTACCTGCTCGGTGTCATATCAGCCTCACATTTTATGCCATGGAGAAATGTTCCTATCTTAAATCATTCTTTGGAAAAAAATTGTCTTTATCTGGACACCATCATGATAGAATTTTGTTTTCCCTTCTTCTCTGGAAATGCTGTTGTAAGACTTTTTTTTAGTCCCTAAGTCAGAAGTATTATTTTTTCCTTAGCTGTAGTCACCCTCTTGGGTTATTTCATCTGGGTACATAACAGAAGCCTTTATTGCTTCTGTGGGAGTCAAAATATAATTCAGAACTTTCTTGTGGAAATTGTATTTTGTTTGCATAATTCTTTCTCTAAAAAGCCTTTCTTTCTACTGTAAAAGTAAAACATGCTCATTTTTTACAAACTTAAAAATGACAAGAAGCATCAAGGAAGCAGGCCTTCAGCCTCCAGTGGATCTCACATAATACTTAAGCAAGTTTACACAGCTCCAACGTCCTCGAGGGTTTGTGTCTCTTTGTGCCAGCAGCATTGTTATTAAAAACAGATACTGCACATTTGTTAGGGAAAATGTAATTATGTTTGTATCAGCTTCTTAGAAGTCTTATCTGTGACGCATATTAATAAGAGCATAAACTTGAAACTTGTTGGTAGAATAAACTTTGTGAATTTGACATACAGAGAGGGAGACATTCCGACGTTAGACTTGTAGAGTTGCTGTCTAAGCTTTCAAGGATAAAGATCCAAAAGGAAAGATTACTCCAATCAGTTATTCAGTAAATATTTGTTTTCTGGCCTTCCTTGTGCCAGACAGTGTCTGGCTACAGCAACCAAGCAGACAGGAATCTGCCTTCGTGGAGCTTATTTTCCCCTTAGAAGAGACAGGTCGTAAAAAATACAATATGGTATGTGCTTCAGAAAAAAAAAATGAGGGGAGAGGCTTACATTTTTAAGGGTGTCAGGGGAGGCCTCACAGAGATGGTGACAATTAAGGAAAGACCCAGACACAGCGAGGGAGAGGAGGAACCCTGCGGATATCTAAAGGTACAGTCACCCAGACGGAGAGGAGTGCAGAGCCTGAGGCGCCCTGGCCTCTTCTTTGTGAACAGCCACAAGAAAGAAGGGCCAAGGGCCGCGCAGCTGGCTCGGCTGGAACTGAAACGGAGGTTTCGGGGAGGGTGGGGTACAGCCTGTGCGCAGCCCTTTTGTGCATTGTACTCCCTGCTGCTGGTACTCAGTGTGACGCCTTGCTGGAGGGTCATCCGAGGCACATTAGGCTAGCCTAGCTCTGCTAGGCTTGCGTTCTGGCTGTGCTTTTTCAGAAGCGTTTGTTACTTGTAATAATTAGGGTTTTAACTAATGACTCTTGGTGAGGAGTCACAGGTAAATTAAATCTTAATGTCAGTCCTGAAAATTCCCTGAGGTACAGACCTTGTGTGTAGCATTTAAATTCAGAGAAAAAAAGGACAATAGGAAGTCCTGTCTGTCAGTGTTCGTTCCCAGGTGACCCCGATTTATTAGTAAATTCTCATTCTGAATTCTTTGAAAAAGAATTCAGATGGATAGTCTCTGCAAGATATCATATTCACCCTTAGACTTGGAGGGATAGTCAGGTAATCAACTCCATGAGTTATTTAAATAATATATACTTTGAGCGTGTTCAGTATGAGACAGGAAAATGTCACCATATGGTTTGAGGATTAATTATAAAGCAATTATCTGTGTAACCGTCAGGGCAACCTAGACGTCCAGCACCCAGAAGCAGCTTGTTGTGTCTCCTTCCTGGGTTGTAACTCACACAGACCACACTGCCCAGGGGCAGCCTCTCCTCTGACTTTAGTGAGCATCAGTGCCTTATCTTTCTGTATGAGTTTATCCCTCATTCATTCCAAATCAACATAATTTTGTCTGAAAATTTTGTAAATGGAATAATAAAGTACATGATCTTTTGTGTCTTTCATCATGTCAGTACAGAAAAACCATGCTTCTTTTCATTGTCACATAGCATTCTGTTTTTGGAATATAATGTGCCACAATTTATGAGTCCACTTGGATCATTTCTGCTTGTTGCCCATTAGGAACAGTGCTGCCGTGAGCATTGCTGTTCATGTGTGCAGATAGATAGGAAGGACTTTCTCTAGGCTCTGTATTTTATAGGGAAACTGCTGCATCTTCTTTGTTGTTGTTGTTGCTCTTGTTTTTAAGCTTTATTTTTTTTATTGGAAAAGCAGATTTACAGAGAGGAGGAGACAGAAAAATCTTGCATCCACTGGTTCACTCCCCAATGGCCGCGATAGAGCAGAGGCAATCTGAAACCAGGAACCAGGAGCTTCTTCCAGGTCTCCTAAGCAGATGCAGGGTCCCAAGGCTTTGGGCCATCCTCTACTGCTTTTCCAGGCCACAAGCAGAAAGCTGAAAGGGAAGTGGAGCAGCCAGGACACAAACCAGCACCCATATTGAATACCAGCCTTGAAGGTGGGAGATTAGCCATAAGCCATTGCGCCAGACCCACAAAATCTTGATATGCTATTAAAGGGGCATTTTACATAAAAAACTTAATGGTAATTCAAGATTGCCAGCTCCCTAATGAGCTGGCAAAAGTAATCACCCATCTCTTTTAAATCTTGGAATGAGGTAAAGCAGCATTGTTTTTGCTGTGCTAATAAGTCTAATTATTAGAAGAACTTGCTTGGGTTTTCTGATTTTCATTGTTAATTATCATTTAGAGATGACTGAAAAATAATGCACTCAGAGCTAGTGTCAAGCTATAAGAATGGCAATTTTTAAAATTATATTTTTGGCAATCTTTACATTATTAATTAGGGTAAAAAAGTACAAGGGCTATAGGAAAGTGGGTAAGACCACTATTTCCCTATTGTTTCCTTCATATATCTGAGGGAATATTGAGGGAGAAGCCCCACCCAGTCTCCCACCCACCCCAGGTCCCGGATGTAGGGCATGCTCTGAGATCCTTGCTCAAGTGGTTTTGATAGTTCACCAGTTATGAATCACTGCCAGTCTCGCCACTCCAGACACGATGAGACTGTTGAAGAATCCACTGATTGACATGGTCCATGATAGAGTCTCCATTTGTCTAGTATTTCGTTGAGGAATGGCAATTTTAACTAGTAAATATTTTTTACTAGGCGTTTCTTTGCAGCTGTATCACCTGTTTTTTTTCCCTTTTAAAATAATAGCCAAACTAAGTAAATACTTGTGTGAGGTTCAGAATCTAAGTCTGATTCATCCTCTCTATTTCCAACAGAGGTTTCCTGTTAAGAGAAGACAAATTAGAGTTTTCCTACTGACTTGATTTTGGTGAGTTTTTACAGTTTTAAGATTTATTTATGTAAGACTTATTTTTATTTAAAAGGCAAGTTTACAGAGAGAAGGAGAAACAGAGAAAGCTCTTCCATTATCTGGTTCATTCCAGATGACCACAACAACTGGAGCTGAGCCGATCTGAAGCCAGGAGCCAGCATCTTCCTTTCTGTCTCCTCCATGGGTGCAGGGTGCCAAGGATGTGAAACATCTTCTGCTTTCTCAGGCCACAAGCTGTGACATGGATGGGAAGTGAAGCAGCTGGGACACAACTGGTGCCCACATGGGATGCTGGAGTTTGGGCAGAGGATTAGCCAGTTGAGCCGTTGTACCAGCCCCTAAATATGGCTTAATTTTTTTAAAAAAGCCAGAATGAGATATATAAAAATATTTACCATGACTTTTAAAAATGTATGTTTTGAGTGTAATCTCTTTCATTTTAGTACAAATGATAAATTATATAAGGCAAGAATATAAATTTTAAAAAATGGATATTACAAATCATGCTAAAAAAATCTTTGAAAAGTGATTCAAAAAACTTTTTACTCTAAATGTTGTTAGAGCCTCTTGTCAGTATTGAGGTACAGTGTGTTAAGCCACCATTCAGGACACCGACCTCATGTGAATGCTGGTTTGAGCACTGGTTGTTGCACTTAGAATCCAGCTTTTTGCTTAATGTGCCTGGGAGTGCAGCAGAAGGAGGGCTCAGGTACTTGGGCCCCTGTCACCATGTGGGAGGCCTTTTTGGAGTGGCTGGCTCCTGGCTTCATCAGATGGAAGATTTCTCCAACATTCTGCCTTTCAGATAAATAAATTTTAAAAAACCTTACTAATGTAAACCAGACTGTTCTTTTTGGATTCAGACTTGGACTCATTGGGTGATAATGCATGGTATGAGGACTTTAAGAGTAGTAATATTTTCTCCATGGACAAGATCTTTAGGGTAGTTACAATTTATTAAAACAAAACAAAACATTTAAAGCAGGTCACTTCACTTCATCTTATTCTATAAAAGGAGTTTAATTTTGACCAGATTGCATGAGTGTCTTGCACATTATAGCTCATCTCTCTATGGGCAGCTGAACAGAATGTAGGACAGGCTCTTTAAGCAGTAAAGCTACTGGTGTTCCTGGATTCAGTACTGGTCTCCAGCTCTGACTCTGGCTTCCCGCCCAAACAGTCCTGGGGAGGCAGCAGTTGGGGCTCCAGTAATCGGAATCCAGCCACCCGCTGGGAGCCCTGGACTGCACTCCTGGCTGGCCCAGGCCCAACCCTGGCCGTTGGAGACATCTGCAAAATGTCTCCAGATGGGAAACTCACACTCTTTCTACCTCTCAAATAAATTTTTTTAATGTTTACATCAAATCTTTTAAACATTTTTTCTACCATTTTAAAAGTTACCATCTTATACTTTATAGTATAAGATGTTTGCTTTAAATGCTTCTCGAGTTTTTTGGGTAAAATAGGTATAAGTACATTTAGTTATTTAAGTCCTGACACAGATTGTCAGGAGCCAGGAAAGTCTGTTAAAACAGACATTCTGTCTAACTTTCCTGTTTTGTTTGCCTGTGTAGTTTTACTTTTCCTTGAGTCATGAATTTTGGAATGAACATTTAAATTTGAGAACTTCCTCCATCCTTTGTTCCAGTTAGTTTACTTAAACCTCAACATAGAAGCTGACTTTTTTTTTTTTTAAGATTTATTTTATTTTTATTGGAAAGGCAGATATACAAAGAGGAGGAGAGACAGAGAGGAAAATCTTCCGTCTGATGATTCACTCCCCAAGTGACTGTAACGGCCAGAGTTGAGCCGATCCGAAGCCAGGAGGCCGGAGCCTCTTCCAGGTCTCCCACACGAGTACAGAGTCCCAAGGCCTTGGGCCGTCCTAGACTGCTTTCCCAGGTCACAAGCAGGGAGCTGGATGGGAAGTGGGGCTGCCGGGATTAGAACCGGCACCCATATGGGATCCCAGTGCATGTAAGGTGAGGACTCCAGCCGCTAGACTACCACTCTGGGCCTAGAAGTTAACTTACTTTTAAAAGCTTTAGAAGGACAGCGATTGGGGAGAAGAGGGAGTTTACTTGCTGCAGGTGGTTTCCAGGTTGGGTTTAGGCAGGTTTCTTGAGGTCAGACCATACAGGAGAGCAGAGCATCCATGCACCTCCATCTGTCTCTGGCAGGGCGAGGTGTGGGTGCTTCCATGAAGAGGCCTCTCCTAGGAATACTGATAGCAGTAGTTAACATTTAACCTAACTGGTTGCCTTTGTTGTAGTTCAGATTCTCGCAGGCAGGCAGGCCTTTTCAATATTCAGGTTAATGAACTTATTCCAGATTGTATACCTTCAGACTCATTTAGATTTTCTCCTTTGAATTTCATTCCTTGGGCCCTTCTCTGGCTAGACAGTTGTTTGCAAAAACTGTTCTGATAAAGCTTAATTAACTGAAGTGTAACAGCTGAAAAGAAATTCAACCCTCCCTCACCACTATCACCATGCATTTGGCTGCTACAAGGCCCAAGGATCTTGTGGGGTTAAGCAGCCTCTTCTGTTTGTTTCTAGAAACGACTGTTCTGTATTTGAATTCCTTAGACTGGACATGGCTTAGATATTGTTTACTGTTTACATTTCATAAGGTTCTTCATAATCATAAATGAGTGGGTGGAAGACCATAGCTTCTCAACTCTCAAAATAGCTTTGGGTGTATTGACTATACACAAATAGAATCTTAACATAGTGTCTCCCCTCTTCTTCCTCTTCCTTCCTTTTTAGATTCTTTTCCAGCTCATTTCTCTTAAGTAGATTTTTCTCAACCTTGATGAGAAATGTTTGATAGCATGTGGGATGTGTTAACATCTTCATCTTTCCCAAGTTTTCTCTTTGAGGCCCTAGAGATTTGAGCCGGAGCTATCCAGTGGCATCAACATATGATTCTAATTTGTGAGACAGAAGAGGTTGCTGATTGTTTGGCTTTGCCTTTCTAAATTCATTCCTAAGGATGTTTTCTTTTGGAACTGAGATCCACTTTGAGGTGAAATAGCCCCTTCATAATCACATTTGTTTCCTGGTTTGGATTAATGCAGCTCTTTCTCAGACTTCTCCCAAGTGATGGGTTTTGAAAGTGTTGTGTGAAGAAGCTTAATCTGATGAACCCTGTCTGCCTTTTTTGTTTTCTTTCCTTTTCTTTTTTTCTTTTTTTTAAGCAGCTGTAGGAGTGTCTCTTCCTAGCAGGGGCTCTGTAATTAACAGCAGCAGCAGCAGCGCTATCACCTGATGGAGTTAGCAGAGACCTTCTGACACCTGTGCTTGTTACAGCCAGGTTGATTTTGCCGGGCCCTCCATCCAACTGGACAGTCTTTTCCTCTGATGTTACTATGAGAATGTGTTTAGCTTAGCAGTCACTTGTGCCTCAGTTAGAAAACAAGACAAAAACAATGTAGGAGACCTGAGTTACAGTCCTGGCAGGTGACCTGGTGGCGTCTGCCCCTCTGCAGCATGGATGTTTGCTTCAGGAGCAGAGATGCATCCCCTTCTTCCCAGGCCTATCTTTGGGGTAAAGAAGCATGCCAAGATGTCTGCAGCAATAATTTACAGAATGGACAGTTTTTAGGGGAAGAGATGATTTCTGAGTTAATTTAAACTGGCAGTAATTTTTTCTGCTCTTTAATAGTTTTGCTAACTAAAAAAAAAAAATGCATCCACAGTAAGAATTATTCCATATTTTAACCTTTGAGCTAGCTACAAAGGTCCCCTTGGGAATAAGGACAGTTTGTATTTATAACCTGTAAGAAGGGCAGTTGGGCAGTAAATAGGCAGCACACAGTGAGGCTTGGCAGGCAGGGGGAGCAGTATGCTGTTCTACCAGATGTACTTTCTTCTTCATCTTCAGCTCAACTTTGTGGGATGAGCTTCACTAGCCAGGCTATTTCTATAAAATTCTGTGTATTACTATTCTCTGTATTTTCTCCTTGTATTGAAGAGGAGAAAAGAGCCTGTGTATGTGCAAAAGCATATCTAAACTTCATATTCATTTCAGCATCAACATTTACCTAAGAAATATCCGTAACCAGGAAGATCTTAAAGGTAGTGACTTGCACGTGTAATATAAGTGAATTGTCCTTATGTATGACAGTTGTGAGAGCAATTCAGTTCTTAGACAAATATCAGCTATGTCAGAAATGTGTTCTGTATGTTTGTGTCTTAGTTAGTATCTAGGCTTATTTTTAATATACATCTACATTTTTGAATGCTTATTAATAATAGGTGATGATTATCTTTCTCCATGTGTTAATTTTAACGGATTCAAACCCCATGTCAATACGAAAATTGAAAATCAAATTAGTAAATTCTAAGAATCTGCCTCAGTTTACTGTTGGTGTTTTGGAATTTTTTTTGGTACAGAATTTAACTTGAAATAACTTAGAGGTATAGCCTGGTTCCTGGCAGCTACTGTAGTGGTACTTTCTGTACCCATAGTTGGCTTATACCAGGAAGTATGCTTCTCTCACTTCGTCTTGTCAGGAACTCCCCCATACCCCTTTTGAGTTTCCCTTCTCTTCCAAGGTTTCTTAAATAAAAATAGATTTTTTTTCTAAAAATCAGAGAAGAGTGTAGAGTGTATTTTTTAAACAGATTTATTTATTTTTATCTGAAAGGCAGATTTTTACAGAGAGAAAGGGAGAGAGAAAATTTCTTCCATCTACTGGTTCACTCCCCAAAAGGCTGAGCTGATCCAAAGCAAAGAGCTAGGAGCTTCTTCTGGGTCTCCCATGTGGGTATAGGGGCCAGTGACTTGGGCCACCCTCTGCTGCTTTCCTAGCCCATAAGCAGGAATGTGAACTGTAAGTGAAGCAGCCAGGACGCATGGGATGCCAGCGTCACAGGGTGGAGGGATTAGCCGCTACACCCCTACACTGGCCCCAACAGTATAGTTTTCAAGGATATTTAAAATTGGAGTGAAGTAAACTAAGAATTCTAAGTGTTTTATTGTTTTTAAAGGTA